GAGGGCAACTTCACAGTTCAACTGAATTACTACATGGGCCCTAAAGAACAAAACAGACGTTTTACTTAAATAATGCATTACAAATGTTCAGAACAGTGGCTGCTACAGTAACATTGAGAAGAAGTTACCCACCTGTAATTTCTACTCCATTCTAGTGATACAAAAAAGTATTTACAAATATATACCTAAGATTCCCACTTGTAGTTTCTGGGTCATTGTGCTGTGTTTTCAGATCTGGAAAAAAAAAATCTAACATGTCAAAATTAACCTCTTTAAATACTTATTAACAAAAATATTCAACTGGATAAGAGAATTTCAGACCTCGCTTCTGGAAGTAATGCATAATGCCAATAGTTCACAGGGCAGTGAGTGAAAGGGGCTAGCGTGCTCGGAAGGGTGCGCTTTTAGGTGAAAGGTTAAATAAGCTGTTTTCCTCCTTCATTGGAGCCCATTGCCCATAGGGATTTCTCTTTGTATCTTCTTTTCCCAAGGATACTGCTGTCTCTTTAACAGAGAGACTTGCTGGTTTCTGGAGTACTGGCTTTGCCATGGTGTTCTGGAGGAGAAAAAAAAAAAAAAAGTTAGAATATTTTTATTTTTTTTAAGAAAAGAAAAAGGTAAGGTGAAAAGTGTCCACAATTGTTACCTACAGCTTTAGACAACTATTTGTAGTTTATAGAAAGCCTTAGTTTTTTTTTTTTTAGAATGAATCCAGGAATACTGAACTCAATACACACAGGTAAAGAAATGAAAAATAAAAGCTTCACTGAAGCTTGCATTTGTAATTTTAAATTGCCATAGCACAACTTTGTATTTATGAAGATGAGAATGATGCTTGCTATATAATCCAGATTTAACGAAGCCAAATTTGCTTTTCCCTAACTTCTGGTTAACTTGAGTGACCAGTTGTACAAGTTGAAAGGTCCACAACACTACAGCTTACAAATCTATGGCTTACTTCTAAATGCTTTTGCCTCCGGAGAGCCTAATCTCAGTCTTCCTACCCGCCAGACTGGCGGGTAGTAATCGATCCATCAGGGATTGATTTATCACATCTAGTGATAAAATGTATACGCGATAAATCAATCCCCGATCACTCTACCATCGACTCCTGTACTCCACTGCGGCGAGAGGCGGGAGCGGTGGCAGTCGACCGCGCGCCATGAGGACGCGAGGTAAGTCAGCTTAAGACATGCAACTTCAGCTATGAGAATAGCATAGCTGAAGTCCAAGTATCTTAGGTCGATCCCCCTCCCTAGTGTAGACCAGGCCTCAGTAATTATATCCCTACACTCCACATTTCTCTTGAATTACCCAACTATATTATACATGGAGGGCTATTAAAGAGGGTAGTAAGTTGAACCCAACTGACTTCCAAGGTTAGATAGAATGTACTACATATGTGAAAGAATAAGCTGGAAATCAATATTTCCTATCTTAGAAATATGCACTTACATTAGGGATGAAAGATAAGCCTTTCACTGCGGGAGAGCTCTCAGTTCCACTTTTGGTTACATCTTCTGTTAGTCTTCTGGATTGCTAAAGGAGAAGGCACAGAGTTTAAACAGGGTCACATATTCTATGTGAATTAAGGAAACTCATTAGAGTATGAATATTCTAGTGTAAGTTTTGTCTCAACTATTGAGATCAATAGTGGCTTTAAACTGTAAAGTATTAGAATGCACATACAGATCAGTGTTGAAAACTCAAATGGGAAATGTTTAGTATTTCTATCAACATAATTGTGTCAATGTACAACCTTATATCCATGCTCATGTTTTAGCTTTAACTAGGGAATGTACTGCAAGCATGGACTTCATAAATTGAAATGGAATGTTACAGCAAGTTGTGCATAAACTCTGCATATCCACCCTGCAGAGCTTTGGAGAAGGACAATAAACTTATCTGCAAGTGATGCAGGCCTCTTCTTCTGTAATCTCTCAACATCTGGAATATATTACATACATTATGAAAGGGACACCTGTGCCATTTATTTAGTTGTCCAGGAAACCCTTACTAAGTTTACTTTCTTTAATTTTGAAATACAAGTTTGGTATAAGCTACTGCTACGTAGTTACTATTGTAGGTGTGCATCTGACCAGATGCAACAAACATTAACAGCTTTCTAGTGCAAAACTAGTTTAACTTGATTAAGTTCTTTTCCCTCCCCTAATTCACAGCAGCTAGAGCCCACAAGTTCCTTAATTACCACCAGATTTTCTTCATCAATGTCTGGAGACCATATTCATGATTTCTATAAGACAGAAATACAGTATGTAAAACGCATTTGGGGTCTGGGCATGGGATTTCTGGGAACAATCTGATGCATATGAAAAGGCTATATGACAGTTATCAAGCACAAAGATTAATCTTTACAAACGCCTATTAAATAGGCTATGGCAAATAAGCCTTTAATTGTTTTTGGGGCAAAAAAAAAAACACAGATCAGCCAACATAACGGGCACTTCCCTATTGGGTTTGAAAATTCTCTCTCCTTCCTCACACATCACTAGTGGAAAGTCGGTAGGCAAATAATGAGAGCAACCATCTAAGATTCCAAGGTACTCTTCCAGCTTTAGCAGGCCTACAAAGGTTTTCAACATCTTGATAAGTTTAAAAACTTGGATGTTTCATTTCATAATAAAATTAGTTTTTGAAAATTTAAAGGTACTTCGCAATGAAAAATTAAGACTAGCACAGCTTTTCATGCATGTCGTATCAGTAGTGTAGTTTTGAAAAAAGTTTACCTTTAAAATCAAGATTACTCCAGTTTATAATTACCTCAGTGGACTCCACAGAATCTTCACTTCTGTATTTTCCACCATTTGTCTCTTTGGATAGGCTGTAGACTCTCAAGCTAGCTGGCAAGACTATGTTATCTGTTCCCAGGGCTTTTGCAGCATTAGCCTTTGCAATTTCTAAGAGTTCCCTCCTATCTACATAGGAAAGAAGAAACATCTTCTGTAAGGGTAATCATAGCGTACTGACTCACCCAAAAAGAAACACTGAGTCCAGTGCAAAGTCAGTTTACCCTGGAAAAAGTATGTTCCCAAACTAATGTAAATTTATAAGATACCACCCCCTTTAAACTGTAGTGTTTATAAAGATGGCAATTCCAAAGAGAACATAAAACAGGGGTAAGCAATCCAAATCAGATTTTCAGTTGACGTTCTAGGACAGAACTACAGCCCCAAATATTAAAATTCTATATAAATCTAGCAACAGGAAAAGTCTACAAATGACTCAGTCTTGAGTTCTATTCCTTCCCACCCATGTTATGAAGCAGGTATGCTGCTACTCGCTGAACGCAAATACCTTTTTCACTTAAGCGCAGAGGTGTTCTGCTACGAGATCTTGTTCGTGATCTGCTTCTCCAACTTCTGTAAGCCTCAGGATATATGGTTCTCCCAAATCCATAGTATCTTCGGCCTCTTGATCGTGATCTGCTTCTTGAGAAGGATCTTCTATAATATGGTCTTCCACGAGACCATGATCTTCCATGAGACCGGGACCTGCTGCGTGATCTATACCTTGGAGGAGGAGAACGGTGGTATCTCCTGTAGGTTCTAGGATGGTACCTTCCTCTGTATCGAAGGCTACGTGATCTTGACCGACTTCTGGAATATGATCTTGAATATCTTCTATACCTTCTGGAACCATTTCTTCTAGCTCGTGATCTTGATCTGCTTCTAGACCTGCTCCAACTCCTTGAGGAAGTTGAAGTGCTTGAACTAGATCGTGAACTGCAAGATGATCTGCTAGATGATCTTGAAGATGATCTGCCCCGACTAGTTTTGGACTTTGAGCGAGAATCTCTCTCTTTTGGTGAGCTTAGAGTTAAATCATCCATGTAATTTGTCATATCCTCTGTCTTTTTGTTTGCCTGCAGTTTTTCTGTGACAGTGCCTTTAGAAATAGTATCTGTTTTGAATGATGTTCTAGAACATCCAGTTTCAGTTCCTGTTTAGATAAAAATTTGGTTTAAGATTTATTCTTTGCCAACAAACCAAGGTCAACTTGAGTCTACTATACTCACAAAACTTATGGTAGCTACAAGTGAAAAGGTCAAGAGCTATTTTGCAGTTTTACCTTCTGCCCTAGACAGTTCTATTTACTGCTTTAACTTTTTCTCTTTAGTTAATTTCTTCCTGGCTTTATCAAACACATTTCCCATAAATTAATGGTTTCAGAATGTGGCCAAATTCTCTCTCAAAAGCATACTGCTAATATGCAGATATATTTGCACATGCAGACAATTACATGGCATTAAGGCTAATGAAGTGTCGATTTTCACTGTATGACTTGTACAGATGTTCCAACAAACTATTTTCAGTTTACAAGGGACCATTTTAAATGAAAGAAAAGCATTTCTGTTGTGAAATAGCAGTTTCCTCTGAAAGAAAGTTGACTACAGTGAATTGTACTGTCATGAACGTAATGCCAGGGAACAGATCAATTCATATGCCAAATACCAGAAATTTTAACGTATTTGTATTTGAAAATTTAAAATACTAAATACGAATAGCTAAGATGGCCGCCATCATATACCAGCAGCCATTTTAGTTCTAGTTATTAAAATGGTACTGCATTCTAGGGAATAAATACTTCCCTATCACCACCTTTCAAATCCCCTCTTGGCTTTGCTATGACTGTGCCACAGTCTCCTGATTAAAGGAACTCCATTCAAGCCTGGCATTTGTATTTAGTGTTCACTGAACACAGAAGTTATCCAGCAAATCTTAAGGACTTTCTGGAACGCATTACAGATAATCATGAAATTTTTAATGTCAATTACATTTATTTCCTTTACTGTCAATATAGAGATGAAAAATTGAGTTTGCATATCCCACCTCACCTTTAAATAAATGCCAAGCTCACAAGTCCCAGAACAGGACACACCTAAAACAGAAAGCCTGCAATGACAGCTAAGCTCACTGTGCTGGGTGCTGTCTACAGAGAACGGCGTATCTTTCAAGTGCCAACAAGTTCTCCGCATTGTACAGAACACAGGCACAGCGCACCTGCCAGGAAAGCGGACCTGCTCCACTGCCTGACTTAGGTGCTTCCATTGGCAAGGAGCCAGGTACCAGCGCTGTCCCAAACTGGGCACAGTCACAGCCGGTGAAACGACAGACGCTGGTGCGTGGAGAGAGAACAAAGGCATTACGGACCAGGAAACAAGCCTAGCTAACTACAAGGTGAAAGGAGACGATTTCCTGAAGACGCCGTCCACAGACACTTACCGCTGGGGGCCGCGGGACTCCCCTGCTCCTGGCTCCTCTGGGGCACCACCCGGGGGCTCCTGCAAGAGACGGGAGTGTCAACGGACACACGGACATTCGTCATCCCCCGGCGCGGGCCGAGCCCCCTCCCCCTCCGCAACACACACATCCCTATACCCGCCGCCCCCCCGGCGCGAGCCGACCCGACTCTTCCCCACCACCCCCATTCCCGCCGCGAGCCGAGCCCCCTTCTCCTGTTGCCGCCCCCCCATCCCCCCCCATACTCGCCGCGAGCCGACCCGACCCCCCCCATACCCGCCGCCCCCCCGGCGCAAACTGACCCGACTCCCCCCCCCATACCGCAGCGAGTCGAGCCCCCTTCTCCTGCTGCCGCCGCCCCATTCCCACCCCCACCACCCCCACACCAGCCGCCCCCCCCATACCCGCCGCCGAGCCCCCTTCTCCTGCCGCCGCCCCCGTCCCATTCCCCACCACCACCACCACCCCCGGCACAAACATCCCTTCAACGCCGCCCCTCCTTCGGTAACTCACTGGCTCCAGGTGGCCTGGTCTCCCCCACACGGACCCTGGGCCTGTGGCGGCGCCTGTGGGGACAGCCCTGTCTCATGGGTCACCGCCATAGCGGGAGTAGAGCGGTCGCCGGACCGGCACAGCAGCCACCGAGCCGCCTCCCCACACCGGGAGCTGGGAACCCGAACTGCTTTTCGCGGCGCAGCCTCCCCTCAGGGGCACAAACCCGACCCGCTTTCAGCCGCCTCTCAGCTCGAGCACACACAGAGAGAGAGCGCGCGCGAGCCGCTCCGGACCAGTCACCCCGCGCCCGGGAGTCTCAACAGCAACTAACGAACTGCCAGACTAACCCACACTGAGAAGGTTCGAGAACCACCACCCAGTTATGTAACCTGGAGAGTGGGGCGCATGCGCGGGCGGGACGAGAACTTTCTCCCCCACCCAGGCCAGAAGAACCTGAAGCGCATGCGCCAACTAGAAACGCCCGCGCATTGGGAGGGCTGCTTTCCCCGACCCTTCTACGTACCATATCCTGGGGGCGCATGCGCAAGAAAAATCTCCTCGCCTTGCTAGCTTTTACAGCGCATGCGGGGAGTGGAGGGCGGGGCAGCATACGGAGTTCCTGTTCCTCCCCCTGCTGAGCTTGTGATGGTCACACAGCTGATCGGGGCTGGCGGGTGCGCATGCGCGGTGTGATGGCGGTCGGGGCGCTGTGACGTCTTTCTAGGTTCTCCTCCATCCGGGTTCCTCGGGTTGTTTGTTTATTGCGCTGAGGGGGGCGGCGGCGGCAGGTCTCCGCTGAGGGAGACAAGAGCGCGCGCTGCCAGCCGCTAAGCCAACGGCTGCACCTTCTTCCTGCCCACGCGCTGAGGTAAGTGGGGACCGCAGAGAGCCCCATAGACACCCCTCCCCCCGGGGCTGGGAGCCAGGGGGCTGAGAGGGAGTCCTGGGGGAGCCCATAGGCTGCTTGCTCGCCATTGGCTACTCTAAGGGCTGTGCTGTTGGTCATTGACTACTTGGGGGAGGCAAGCCACTGGCTGCCCCCCCGCATGTCATTAGCCATTGGCTCCCTGGGGGTTATACGTCACTGGCCTTCTCATCCTATTGGCTGCCAGAGGGGTGCTGGCGCTAGCCATTGGTCATCCCCATGTAGATAGTGGTTGGCAGGAGTGGGGGGGAGAACCATATTCTGTCACCAGACACTGGCATATTGTACTATCATCCATTGGCTGCATCAGGAGCGATGCTGATGGACACTGGGTCTGCCTGGGGCAGCTGGCCACCATTGACACTGGCATGATTCTCTACATTAACTTGGGGCGGGGGAAGGATTGTCATTGTGGCTCAGAGCTTTGTGGCCATGTGAGCCAACGCCCCAGGTCACTGCTACCTCTCTCCAGCTGTGCAGGGGAAGGTGAGGCGAGCCAGCAGGCCCTACCACAGCTCACCCTCCTTCTGCAGAGCACTGTCTAGGGACAGTTTAACCCCCAGTTCCTAAAGCGATGGGCATCCACAGAATGCAGAAAGCGCCATGCTGTAGCCTGGGCTTGGGAGTCAAGTATTTCCTGGTGAACAAAGGAAGCTGAGGCCCAATCATCACTCAGAAAAACATCACTTGTTGCTGATAATCTAAAATAATTACTGATAATCTTCCCATCCAGTATCTAAGAATGT